GCCCGCCGCCGTCTCGCTCAGCGCGGGTAAGCTTGGTTTATTTTTAATTGAAGGAATCCAGTGCATTATTAACCACTGTGCCACCTGCTGGCTCTTCCCTTCTTCTTTCCTTTTAAAACTTTAACAATGCCTTGCTTGCAGTAAGCTTTCAGTTTTTCATGATTTATTATAATTTTCTTTCATTTTAGATTTTTGCCATAGGAGAGAGACAGACAGAGAGAGGGAAAGTGAGAAATCTTCTCCCATAGGAGGGAGGCACACCACAATCCCTTTTCCTCCACTTTCCTCCTGGAATTCCGGTCATACATGCACACATACACACCTGATATGTTTTTCAAGGCACCAAATCTGGGATTCAAAACACAGTCAGCCATGGGGCATCCAGCTGCCTTAACCACCACACCACTGGCTGGCCTTTGAGTAATAGACTTCTTTTTTTTTTTTTGGGGGGATTTTCGCCATAGGGCACGTGCGCTTGCCAGACAGGCAGAGAGAGACAGAGAGACAGGAAGCGAGAAATCACCCCCCAGAGGGGATGGTCACACCGCAATCCCTTCTCCTCTCGGGATCTTGGGCATGCACGCACACGCGCCCGGTGTAGGTTTTAAGCCACCGGGTCCAGGACACAAACCGCAGTCGACTATGTGCGAGTCCAGTGACATAGCCATTACGCTAACTGCTGGTTCCCAGTAATAGACTTCTTTAGACTTTTGGTAAAGTCATCATTTTCTTTGCACATCCAATGAAACTAGAGCATAATTTATGCCTATGATTTCTGGGGATACATGAGCCTTAGGATAAGAACCTATGGTTTAGATAAAATTTAAAGAACTACAAAAGAATTATAAATACCTACCTATCATGTAATCTGGTATCAATCACTGTCGAATAAGCAGAACATAGTTACTTGAAAGGATGGCAATAGTGGCTAAGACCATAAGAGGCAGACTGACAGGTTTCAATTCCGACTGTGCCAACCTACTAGCTTTTGACCTTAAACCAGTGATTAACCTGAGTGTTACTTTTTAAATGGTAAAGTAGAGATAATAGTTCCCATATCTCAAAGTTCAGGAATAAATGAGGTATTACTACTGGGCCATCCACAAAAGTATTCACTGGCTACTTTTTTTTTACTTTTAAATCATCATTAGTGTTTTACTGTTCTTTGTCTGTCTAACCTTACCCTGATTATCTCATAGTGTCTAGTGACTAAGTTGTCCTGAGTTTCATACCTAGAAATAAAATTATTCTGAGCAAAAAGCTTGACCCTTTAGATACGCTTTTATTTCAAAAAGGAAAAAAAAAAAAAAGACCTTAAAGGGTAATCTTTGATCTCTCTCATAGTAAAAAATGACCCTCTGCTTCCTGCTTATAGCACATCAGGGAAAAGGTCTTGGTATGTGCCCTTCGGAATTTCCCCTTCTTCCTGTGCGTCTTCCCTAGTCTCCATCCCGGCCCAGTAGAAAGAGAAAAATGTCAGTTTGATGTCTGGCCTCATTTTGGGAGCAAGTATTGGTATTTATCCTGTCAGCAGTTCCTTGGTATTTAGTGTTTTACATCTTAATCTGTGGAAGAGTCTTTAACTTTGCTCACT